TCCACTTTTAGAAAAGAGTGTTTTTACAAAGTAGCTCACGATTTGGTTGGAGAAAGATTCCTTTTAGGCATGTCAAGATGACATACTTTGGGCAGAGCAAAAACCAGACTTTGGCATTCTTTACTTTTCGCATTAAGTATTGTTTTCGTGACTACCAGTAAATCAGTAGTATGACATGTATTCACCCTATTTCGTTTAAGGTAATGAAGGACTGGTAGAATAATTTTCCCACAATCATATGAATTCAGCAGACGTTTCCATTGAATTTCACTTAGCCTTGCTGTCCCAAAAGTTGTTCTCATCCATGCCCCAGTGGACGGCAGTTTCGATCTCGCATCAACTGGTCCTATCAACACCCTCAGCGGGAGTCGAACCTCGACAGTGCAGGATAGAAGCTTAACACGCTAACCACTCGGCTCACTGCCACAAGCACCTTTTGGGTCACAGGGCAAATGTGAATTTCAAGGAAGGTTAGGCCTTTTTGCCATATCAAATTCTTTGGTGGGATTGTCGATGAAGCAAACGTATATTTGCTACGTCAGCTCAACTCATATCATTATGGGCAAATTCTTTTACCAATCCTTCATCACCTTAAAACGAAATTGGATGAATACATCTCATATTACTGATTTACTGGTAGTTACGAAAACAATACCTTATTCGAAAAATAAAGTATAATAGTGGATTGTTATAGCAAAACATACGTTAGCTTCATCGACAATCCCACCAAAACAATATGAAATGGCAAAAAGGCCTGGCCTTTCTTGACAATTCACATTTTTCCCGTCACCCAAAAGGCGCTCAGGGCAGCGTAGCCGAGTGGTTGGCGTGTCAAGCTCCCATCTTGCACTGTCGCGGTTCGACTGCCGCTGAGGGTTTTCATAAGACCGATGCGAGGTCGAAACTGCAGTCCATTCCAGCCGGGATGAGAACAACTTTTGGGAAATCAAGGCTCTGTGAAATTGAATGAAAACGTCAGCTCAACTCATATCTTTGTGGGAAAATTCTTCTTCTACCAGTCCTTCATCACCTTAAACGAAATTGGGTAAATTCATCTCATACTTCTGATTTACTGGTAGTCACGAAAACAATACATAATACGAAAAGTTTTGTAGGAAAAACTGCAAATTTCGAGATTACCGGTCAGCTGTTTGGAGGACTACGTTGCTACCTGACAGCATGGCCACGTGAGTGAGGAAGGCGTCTTTGAAGCAAAGACGATTAGAAGACTCATCTTCCAACTTGCCGATGCTGCCGACTTCCGAAAGAGGATGGGCAGATTTGTGAGCAAATGGACCGTCAGGAAGGGGTAGAAAGAAAGACCAACGCATTGTCATAAGGTTTTGTGCTCACGTCGTAGGGTTTATGTAGACGTGTACAGAAGAGATTATTGGAAGTCGGGTTGATAAGTCGCAGGTGGCGAACATATCATCCTTCCAAGAAACCAGGTTGAGTGGGCTCAAAGCTAACTTATTGCCGGAATCGGCAACTTGTCAGCCAAGCGAACTATCAGCAAGTCGATTGGGACGAAGACAACACGAGGAACATCGCGAATAGGAGGAACGAGTGTAGGAAACAAAGCAAGAACCATCGCCGGCTGCTTGGTGCAATTACAGAGAGAAAGAAAGAGAGAGAGAAAGAAAGAGAGAGAGAGAGAAAGAGAGAGAATAAAGGGAGAAGACTTGTCTAAACTGGGGCCTGGTTTCGAACCTAAGATTGCCAACCGACTGGATACAAGTCCGGAGTCCATTGTGCGTCTTGCCAGTCTTGGCGCAACAGGACAACTCGTCAAAGAGACAAGTGACAATTGGTCCAATGATCGGCTTCACTTGTCTCTTTGACGAGTTGTCGTGTTGTGCTGAGACGGACAAGACTGACTGACGATGCCAACGAAGCGTCTGGCAATGTACCACGTCCACGATCCGGCTCTGCCAGTGATCCTGCATTCAATGGACTCCAAGTCTTCCAGCCAATAGGACCAATTTGCGAAACAACTCACAACCAACCACACAAAATGCCACACCATCTTGGCCTTTATACCTTCAACCCAATCGGGGTGCATACACACTCGAACAAGCATCCACGAAGCTAGAACAGGCCAGTTCATTTTTGGTACAAAAAGTGTGTGGACACATCCGCTGCTC